CTGCACCTGACCTTTACCTCCAGGGACCTCTTCAATTCTAGCATCCCATAAATGATCATGATGCTCTGTTTAGACTTTCATAGAGAACTTAAAAAGTTCCTAGGTTTTTTTATTTGGCTCTTAATCACTGATAGGTGATTGAAAAGAAGCAAGAATGTGAAAAGACAGCTTTTTACCTGATTCTGTCCTTACCCATTTTTGCCTCTTAGCACCTTAAGCCTAGTAGATGCTCACCTATACACGTATCAATTGATTTATCTTGTTTCATCAGTTGGGCATGTTAAAGAATCTAGAACATAATACATTGTAGGCTCTGTCAACGATCCTTATTAAGTGTTACGGTTTTCTTTTCTTTCTTAATTTCTTTTCAAATGCAAAGCATCATTTTCTTTCTTCACAATTTACTAAATAATTTTATTCTCAAAGAGGTTATGATTGCTAAGGAAAAGGTGTATTACACAGAGTTGAATCCAAGTAATAACTCAATTTCAAAGAAGATAAAAGGTAAATGAAAAAGAACTAAAAATCACTAAATTTGATAAAAAGAACTAAAAAAGTAATTGCATGAGAGACTCATCTCTTGCAATATGGTTACATGAACTGGGTATAAAACAGTCATAAAGGACAGAGCCTACAGTACCTGTTAAGATTCTGGTTGATTCCACAATATCAAAAAGTTGATGGGCATTTAGTAGTTTCTCTTTTTTAGTTTACCATATGAAAATATTAAACTAGAATGAAAATTTAATCTCAACACATATTTTTAAATTTTGGTTTAAAATTTTCTTCAATTTATTCTTTCAAAAAACAAAGGGAAAAAATTTGATTGGAAAAAAGATTTATATTTTAGAGATTTAATATACTTCAGTTTGCAGATAGAGAATTTTTGAAGCCAAACCAAGTAAGACATCATGGGATTTGATCACTTAGAAAATCACAGTGAATCAACATTCCTTAACAGGAAATTAAAAGAATTCCCAACTGTTGAAAATATACACATTTCTTGCATGTATAGGCTTCATTCTGAAATAATAATCTAGTGCAACTAGGAAAGATTAAATATTAGCACAACACTTAGTGCATACCTACAAAATAAATGTACTGTCAGATGATGTCAAACTGTCAAATGATGATTTGAATTTAATGAACTGTTTATGGAATTGCATATTTCGATAAATTTATATTGGAGTTTGCAATGGTGAATATATACAAAGAGAAGAGTTTAGCACTTACTGTATTTAAGGGCAAGTGAAATACAGAAAACTTAAAGATTTTTGCAATACAGTTTAAGCTTACAGAAGTAAATTCTACCATACTAACTCTACCATAGCTAAACCACAATAACATGTTGCCAAAAACATACACACACCATGGCCTGGATTTTTGCATGTTTATTTCTTTGTAATGGCCACCACACTAGTTTATTAGTCCAAATTCATACGTAAAACTCCCTTCCAAAAATGATCACTAACTTTATATGGAAAGGAAAGAGACCTCGGATAAGCAAAGCACTACTGAAGAAGAAAAACAAAGTAGGAGGTC